TGTCGACAGTATTTCATGTTGATGAATTATTTGGCACCCATGAATAACTTTTATTAGTTTAATAGCAGTTAAGATTTGTGGGAATTTAAATGTGTTTTCCTGCCCGCGAGCCAGGATATTAGTCAATTTCTTCGCTTAATGTCCGCACAGTGCTACAAACCTATTATGTCTCTATGAAGATAGAGTAAGGACATCCAATAATTTAACTGATTTAACAAACTAAGAGCTTAGCCCCCATTTGTAAATGTTGTTTTACCAGTGGATCATCTTTATTTATCTCTTGGATTATCTTATTTCATTACTAACTGTTGCTAGTTCCTTAGTTGCGCGAAATTATGAAATCCTGTTCAAGTATTTATGGTTAATAAAACCTTATAAACAAAAATATATTTTTATGAACACTAAGAAAAAACATACAAACAACATGCACAAGAATGAAATGCATCTGACCGTAAAGGCGAAAGCATGCATTCGTTTAAAACCTGTCATATTATTACGTTATTTCCAATATAATCGGATTATTACTGTACGTTTTCTCCACCTGCCCTTGATAAAGTAACCCGCCGTTCTATTGATTCGTTAACCTGGATGTCACATGTTCAACATCCTCATCGTCGCCATTTGATACTGATATTTTGACAAAGTGATAAATCTTTGTTCACTTAGAAAGTGACATTTATATAAGCGCGTGCAAAGCTAATGAGATTATTACCCGGGTCCTAGCTCATTTACTAGCTTATTGCATTCTCAGCTCCCCGGGGAGTATACACATACAACCCGCTTGGCGCAAGATGATTTGCATACACATTACCATATCATTCCACATGTATATCACCAGCGTATAGATGTATATAATGTGTAGTGAGTGAGTGAGTGAGTGTGGTTTTACGCCGCTTTTAGCAATATTCCAGCAATATCACGGCGGGGAACACCAGAAATTGGCTTCACACATTGTACCCATGTCGGGAATCGAACCCGGGTCTTCGGCGTGACGAGCGAACGCTTTAACCACTAGGCTACCCGACCGCCCCATATAATGTGTAGAATTCGATGACGAACGATGTCTTTGTATTTCGCAGATTAATTATGGATCTGCTCATTATCTCGTTTTCTTATTTCAACCAAATTCATCAAAATGATGCTATACAGTGAAACCATTGTCAAATAAACCGGATTTATCATTAAATATATCCGAGCGGAATGTCGGGGTTCGATTCCCGGCCCCGTCACACCAAAAGACGTTAAAAGCTGGTATTTGTTGTTACCTTGTCTGATGGTCGACATAAGGTGACAAAACAAGGACAAGTCGGCTTGTCGAAACTGTGTTTGAGTAGATCTGCACTATAAAACCGGCATCACTGTCCTCGCCAATTGAAATAGAATTAATTAACGAAGACAGCTGCATGGGTCCTTATACTTATAACGTGGAAACAAGCCGTTCCAGCGATACGAAACGATAATTTACAAAAATGAAAAAAAAATGCTCTTTTCAAGAAATATCCATTTTGCTTGGGATAAACATCCTCACTGTGTTTTGATCACGTGGTTACAATCCGGGTTAGCAGTGTGTGCATCCCGAGCAACGTCAATAGCCCTTTAAATACTACATGTGCATGGTTTTCTGTTTCAGTTCGTGCTGGTAATGAGCGCACGCTGCACGTGCCGCCAAATATAGCAAACTTAATAAATAATCGCGAAATGTCCTGATTTTATTTCAAGTGGCGAGAACTTTAGTCCCTTTAGAACCCTCCCTGTGCATATATGATATATTGAAAAGAACGGCGAATATAGGACTTCCATGCAAAATAAAAAATAAGATTTCCTTGGGTTTTACAAAACAAAAATGATGTCCTGAAAAAAATGTGTTGGGGAAAATTACCTTCTATCTTCCACCGAAAAAAACTGCTGGGTGACACAACAAAATGTCCTGATTTTTACAAAACCCACGCCAAACGCCATCTTCTTACCTGACAAACTAGCAAGAAAGGGAAAATGTTTATTCTCTCGCTGTTGTAATCTGCCAAACGTGTGATATGTTTATTAACGCGAATTTTCATGATGCATATTGTACCAGTAGCCTTGAATACGTATATTGTAATATTCGATATAAATTAGACTATAATAGACTGTGAAACTAACAGAGAACACTGACGTGTCAGAATATAAACGTTTGAAAAAGATAGCAGGATGTTACATAAAGTAGTGAAATTCAGGAAATGTGTATTTATTTTATTTATTTTAACTTAAAATATTTATAACCTTCCAAAATAATAGGAATACCCTAATCAAAAGTTAAAGAGTACATTAGGGGACTTGTGAATGTTAAGCTCAGTCTGTACATACGGCGCTGCCTGGAGGTCGCGTGTTGGAATACACCGCAATATTCAGCAATATGACAATGTCCTGTAAACAATCAGGTCTGACCCGTCCAGGAGGACCGCTTTGTGTGAATATTAATTAATCACAATTATTGAGAGACATCCGAGAAACATGTTTGTGTAAAGTAAAAATACAAAGTTGTACGTGTGTAAGGTTGTAATGTTTCGGAAAATTGATAATTCGTCTTTTGCATCCACAAACACCTTTCAACCATTTTACATGTTAAAATTTGTTGAACCCGTTTTACATAAAACCTGCCATTATTATGTATGTATACAATTATTAATTTCATTTGAAAACATGGAACGCTTTAGACAAATATGGCACATCGCAAACTTATTTTGTACATCAAAATATAACTGTCATCAGACGTTGCGCCGGATTACAGATTTGGGGTTGGCGTAGTAGTACTTACTCATTTTTAGCAAACCCTGATTATAATATTATGCTTTTTAATATCGGAAATACATATTTGTCCATGCCAGCTTCACCAATATTCCAGTAACATCACGGCGACGGGCACCAGAAATGGACTTCACACATTTACCAATGAGGGGAATCGAACCTGGGCCTTCGACGTGACAATTCGGCTTCCCCACTGCGACCAGGTGCCCGCTAATATTACACACTGCGTACATGTACGTCACAAACCATGAAGCAGCCTTGATCTTTGTCGTTTCAAGTGGAAGGACAGATGAGGTACAACAAAACCCTGTTCATCCGGACGGTACCATTGTTGGTTAAAATCTGTATGAACGAACTACAGGTTTGTCGTAATATTCCCTTGATTTGTGTATAGTAAACAATAGTATTCACCCGGCCGCTGGTTCGGATATTTGCGGGACCATGGTGTTCCGCGGTGTAGTGGAAAGACTAACATTTAGTCTCCGAAATCTTATGTTACACAATATCCTTCTCGACTCTAAAAATAGAAAAAAATTCCCTATGCTGATTTTAATAGAGTTAGCTAGAGCTGGCTAGACTTGCTTTTGTATGCGTTTCTAGATATTTTATTTCATAAAATAAATATATTCCACGGTCATGGTGCAGGACTATGTAGTGGACAGAGAGTCCAGGTTCTATCACCTGACCGCATCATACCGAAAAGACAAAGACAAAAGATGGTACTTGTTGCTGCTCGGCTATTCTGCTTCACAGTCCCCGGGCCATATTATTTACTGTAATGCACTAGCTCTAAATGAAGCAAGTCTATATTTTCCCCAGGTTCTGAATCTCCCATCCTACTGAAGCTCCTTTTCACTACAAATGGAGTTATTTGTTTCTATCAAAAGAATATGTTTTCAGGGACAAAGCGTTAGTCTATTGCTCTTTTTTAGGGGGATAAAACAAGGACTGGCCGGCCCGGAGTACCCGATACTGTCAGGATTCAATGTTAAACTCCGAATCATCACAAGCGACCAAGCACACGTCCACGTCGGTACGTAAGTGAAACAATCTTGAACGCGACGTTAACTCCAATTTCACTCCACCTCATCGAATATGCGGGCGTTTCCGGACAAACGAAATTTCAATGTATGTGATGTTGGTTTTGTTTGTTTGTTGTTTAACGCCGCACTCAGCAATATTCCAGCTATATGACGGCGGTCTGTACATAATCGAGTCTGGACCAGACAATCCAGTGATTGACATCATGAGCATCGATCCACACAATTGGGAACGATGACATGCATCAACCAAGTCAGCGAGCCTGACTACCCGATGCCGTCAGTCGCCTCTTACGACAAGTATAGTCGCCTTTCACGGCAAGCATGGGTTGCTGAAGACCTATTCTACCCCGGATCTTCACGGGTCTTATTTGTTTTTATAATTTGCATGAAGTAATAAACGTTTTCTTTATCGTAATAATATAATTTTGTGGACAGTTGCGTGACTTTGTTGAGGGTGGTAACAGCAGCTGATTGAATTTAAGGCATCGATTATCAACGAATGAGACATGAAGTACATGAATACAAAGAATAGTACACGGGGACTGAAATAGAGGATATTTGTATTTACGTGTCAAATAACATCTCATCAAATGATGGAGCAGAATACGCTCACTATCAAATGGTGACGTTACCAGCTGTTCATGAAAAGGTGAGCGTATCCTGCAATCACCGCTGGAGCCCGTTACAAACACATGCAGAGGCATGTCACAACAGACATTAAAACGGATGTAATTTTGTTTCGAAAAATTGCCTTTATGTTACGTTTGTACATTTTCGGACGTAACATGAACTAACGTTGCATACAATGTGACGGGATAAACGAACTGATAAATACCCGTCTTGCTTCGGATGCATGGCCACGTTACAATTTCTGGAGGATTTCATCCTTAATATTAATCATGGGGAAATCATGCACAGTAGATAAGAGTGGATATATTGTTGAAGAAACAATTTTGACAACAGTGTGATCACGAAACAGACAACACAATAGATAGGCATTGTGAAATGGACGACTGGAATAATATCTCATGTTCTTTTGCAGTTCTTTTGTTCTCTGTGTCAATATTCTCTGATTACATGACACACAAAAATCATGTAATCGTGATATATGAATAAAAAACATTTTTCAGTTTCAGTGAAATATATCTCGTCGAACAGAAAAATACAACCAACCAACAGTTTGCTATTTTATGTATTTTTATTCCATGTTTGGAATGTTTCAATAAATAGTACTTCTATACAAGCTGTAAACATACATGATCCATGATGCTTATTATATTTAAATTAGTATCTGTATAATAAATAAACGACATATACATAAGTATGTAAACAACATTTTATACAACTTTAATAAGATGACATGACTAGATACGCCGACCTTTAAAATGTATGTGTTATAAAACCCCGCAATACTTCCTTACGTCATAATCGATAAAAAAAATGTTGGTTTCAAATTGTACAACGATGTTTTGGAATGCAATGTTATCTCCTTGTATAGATGGTGATAAAGTACTTTTAGACATAGTTTCGCTTTACAAGACCGTGACGCACAAATTTGAGGGATGATGATGATGATGATTTTAAAATTTATTTCCATCGATCTTATATATTGCTTCTAAATTCGATTTTCAAAAACTGTAGATAAATATAAAAAAACAACCTACTGAAATACGATACGACCGCGACCATAGGAAGTAGCAAATTAAATTCAAATTTAACTACGGAACGTGCTTCTGTAGTTGGGACTTCTACTCATGTCCAACTTTTCTCCCTTGATAAGAGACGATGATCTAAGCACAACAGTCACAAGTTTAAACAGAACTAAATACTGGTACAACTTGTACAAACAACATAGTTCGAACAGCACTTATACGACTCATCCACAAGATCGTGGGTACCGCGCGTCACTAGTTTTACATATGGAATGTCTACTTGTGGACCAAGCCCGATCTCCGCGGCAGAGGATGTGAGATTTACGGTAACAACTCGATTCCAGTTGGACCATCACTAGATGAAGGCTGAGCCGTTTTGGATCTACACCAATATTTTTGTCATCTCTGCTGCCTGTTCATTGTCAGCGGAACCCTGTAATTGAAGCCGTGTGTTCTAGAGCCTTCCGTCTCAGTTGAGCGATGCTTGTCCCCCTCCAAGCATCATCAATATCAGGCATGCCACAAGTCATCTGGGATGAGGGGAGGGAAGGGGATGGAGAGTTTCCGGTCAGGGGCGAGGCACACGATGATGCCGCCATTCCGTAAGAAGTGTTATAGATAGGACTTCCATTTGATACTGTTAAGCCGTTGCCAAGGGACACTGACGGGTTGCAAAGACCCATTGGTACCTGTGACGATAGCGACTGCGCTGTGACTTGTCGTGGCAACGTTGCTGACAAAGCAAGATGGTTGACGTTGCCATTCATATGGCTGCCGATTTGGGACATCCCCCATCGGCTCTCCGAAGGTGGGAAAGCGCAGAGAGAGTCTCCCATTGTACCAAAGGGAGATAATCCTGTTGATGGTAACAGAGCACCAGGGGTACGGAACACGTTTGTGGCCTTCTTCCTCTTCTTCCATTTGGCCCGGCGGTTCTGGAACCAGACCTGGAAGACAAAAGGAGGAATTGTCAAACCTGTCACAAACATGACATTATTACACGCACTTTGATATTTATGAAAACGGAAATGAAAAAAGTGCCCTTTGAAATTGGCTTTTAAATTGTCGAAGAGTTCGTGAGATTAATGTTCTACTCAATCCCACGTGACCTTGTTAAAAGCATGGAAGACATAACTGTCGCCATATAGCTGGTATACGGAGTGAAGTCTGAAGTAGGATAAAATGCACTTGTAATGCTTTCACTGACACTGTGAAAAACAGGCAACTTTAGCTCGACTCTTTCCCAAACTTTAATTCAACATGACAATATCGTCCTCAGTTTCAAGTATCAATAACTTCATTCTCCTGGCTTAAAAACATATTTTTCATTCTACAAAATCCATAAGAAGAAATTCAATACAGTTGAGTCTATTGGCAAATCATTGTTTGCAATAATTGAACTCTATGACTTCATGTCGATCTCCCAGCATGATCGGGCGTAATTTCGTTCTTTCTCTAAGTAAAGACTGATGGGCGACATACAATGACTTTATCAAGGTTCAATAAAGCCCCTTGGAGTTGTATATAAACTGATGATTAAGCCAGTGTTATTGCAAGCTCCCTCATTATCATACAAGGATGTGATTGATGTGGAGACAGGGGACAAACCTGAGCTAGGACAGAGGGGTGTCGACAATCACACGGCAATGCATGCTGGGAGTTTAATTAGACATTCAGGATAGTTCCCGCTCCCATTGAGTGTCATTACAATAATGTCCCTTGTGAGACGGACGTATTTGTAGTTTCATTATGCCGCAACAGTGTGGAGGCAAAAGACAAGTAGAGGTCGCACCGCCCCGATTTATGTAATAATGAGTGAAATGCGACGGAAAAAAATGTTGTTATTCGTAAAGGATTGTTTAGGTAGATTTCGTGGTTGGGTGCCATATGTTTTGCTTGCATGTCGCATCGACGGGCTATGCTGGAAAGATGAATTAATTTGTCAGAAAACAAACAATTTGACATTGTCCTTTAGGCAGTGTTTTCAATAGATGGCGATGCAACATGACAGGGTAGGACGATGGTCCTGTCAACATTAAATGTTCTGGCATCAGAGCACAACAGAAACATTAGCAGCAGGGACATAAAATTACGTTTGTTGTCAGAGCGTCACAATTCATTGTGTGTTAAATTGTTTTAGCTGATTGGCTTGTGTGTTAAAAGAATTATCATAACTTGTTTGTACAATTTCAATCTTGTCAAAATTATTTGCTTTTACAATTTAATCTTATCTTAATGATTTACCGTTAAATATTGATTTATATTATTTGATTACAAAATAGTTCATTTTTAATTACGAGTCAAATGTGTTTCTCATTTTTCTTATTATGGTGCGTTTGATAATACCACAGGCACTACATACATTTTTGCTTGTATCTCAAGAAAAGAAAATATTTTGAATTTACTTTATCTTTATGAATATTGTAAGATAATTGCAGTTTAAAATCATTGTTTATACAGCATCTACTCATATTCTGCTTAATCAAAATATATGTAACTAAAGGTATCTTTTACGATCTTTAGGCTTTGTTAAAGAATCATATTGTATTAATATTAAATTTAATTCACCTACAAATGTAGAGGCATTAAGAGGGTCATTTGTCAACTGAAAGTCTAAGTTGCTTGATAAAGGAACGTCATTTCTCATCACGCTTAATTATATTCTTTTACAAGCAGGCCATCTCAATATTCAAGGGTTAATTGAAGACCGTTATCTGGGCGCCAATCTATTACGTCATGCTTACAATGACCACGGCCATTAATTAATGACATCGTCAAATATTTCATTTGATTAATTAATCTCTGACTTTTACAAACTTAACCAGCCGAGTGATGACATCTTATCTGAGACCTTTGCATGAAATTATCAATACATTAGCGATAATTTGCAAATATTTGATTTTCATAACACTAAACATTGTTAGCTATCAACTGCATTTGTGTTCTGGCTAAATATATTTAATCATCTATCACGTGGCTAGCAATTCTCGTTGAGCGCTTCCTAGATCAGCATATCTAATGGCACCGGGCCTTTCCTCCCTATTGTTCCGCGGCGAACTAATTGATTCTGATTGGTTGGTCACTCGCTTGCACGTGCGTGCTCTTAACGCGCACAATCCGCAAAACGATCACATGTTTGCCCAGAGACTGATCGGACGTTTCAATGACAAACAAGTCTGGTTGTTTCCTTTTATTTTTAGTTCATCATTTGTTGGACCACTTGCCACGATAATCGGCATATTTAACGGTATAATTAGTCAGTTTAATAACACAGCCTCCAGAAAATCAAGAAGTGCAACCTCTTATGTTGTCAGACTCCCAAATACGTTGCAAATTGGAGAATTGAAATGATGGACGCAAATAAAACACACTTAATGGACATTATGATTAGCTTTGACATTGCTCAACCGCTTTGAGATATTAGGCAGAGCAAGAACCGCTGAGAAACGGTGTAAAAGAAGGACTATAATTATCTACCAATATTGATGCAAGGTCTACAAAAGTGAACTCCTACCAAAAACGTATAAATTCGGTGTTAGAGATAGAACGAAAAAACATAGCAGTAATAAACATTAAAACGAACAAAGGATGAGAAGTATAATTAGAGGTCTTAAGATGAATTTAAAGAAGGGAAGAAAACATCCATCCATGTTTTGCGTATACATTTCATAAATAAATTATATTTTCCTTCACTTACTTTAAGCTGAATTTCTGTTCTTCACGTTTAGTCATGCAAATAGATTGCAAAATGCTCTTAATTCAAGCATTAACGGGCAGAGACTGTGGAAATGGTTATATTTCAGAAGATAAATGTTTTACAAATGCTACAAAAAATACAGATCAGTACGTATCTGAGATGTTACATATACAGATGCTGGTGACATGGTTATACAAAGAATACGAAAGACCCAGGGGATTAACCAACTTAGTGTACCAATAGATTTCAGAAAATGGGATTTAGGTCTAAAAAAAAATTTAAAATAGAAGACGATTCACGGAAATTATTTAGACAATTATAAACCAGAGCAAGAAAGGGACTCGACGCATAAGGGATGGATCTTAGATGAATTTGTAACTGTGGAAGACACAATAAATGCCTTGCAGTAATTCATGGGCAAAGCAAGCCAGAAGATCTGTCCGGGAGGTGAGGAAGAACATATCACGCTCTTCCTCCTGAAACAATGGACTTCATTATTCGGCCACACTCTGCCGCCCTCGAGGAATACATGGATTATTATGTGTTAAACTAATTCACGCACAGAAATAAGTTGTCTACGCATTCGGTTTCGTGTATTTCAAGTAATGTTTAATAGCCCAGAAAATAGATGAATTGCAAATAAATGTGGCAGGGTTACATAGGATAAAGGCTTGTGCATGTCCCTAGTCTAGCAGAAAATTATCTCAATCACCCCGGTTAGAATGGTCGTGGCACTGACTTTAAAACGCAAAGAGTCGGTCCGAGGTTTCAAAAGTCGTGATATCAATTCAGTTTGAAATGGCTATTTAGGATTAATTACTGCGTTAACGATCTTACGGCAAGCGGGCTCTATCTGTAGTCCCTCGTGGGACGCACTCGTGCCGGCAGCATTGACAGCACGCGCGGTCTGCGTCGTACCGCACGCGAAACGGGAATAAGCGGGGACGGAATTCTGTCCTCGATCTCGACTCTTGGTCGACTAAACTGATCTCTAGCGACTGAAAACGAGGAAGGGAGTCCGCGGTGGTTAATATCTTCATTATAGAGGTGCCAAAACCGAATCTTCAACGCATTTTCAATGAAAATATAATAATCTCAATGCAAATGCATGGTCTCGGATTGCGTGCTAGCGATGGGGAAAGCCCCTGACGGACTCAAGGCTGGAAAAGCGACTTCGTGGAGGTTGTAGATGAACATCTTAGTCGAACAGTCTTACAGTTACAACGCTGCGAAAAATTTCGTAAATTATTTTCTCAACGAGACGTGTTTTTTTATGATCGAAACTATACCTCTTGTGTAACCGAACGTTATTAGATTGTCATTTTTTAATGTCAAACAATATACTTAGTTGGCGCATGCATATACTTGTACGAGGTTACATAAACACGTTTTATATTATTTGATGTGATGATTATATTCAAACAGTCTAATCATCTTACAAACATGATTAACTTTACTCATACACAGAGGTTGCAAAACGTTTAGTCATTGTTGCTTTGCGTTGTTCAGTTTGAATATGCTTTTTAATATTATTTATCTAAGTCATGTATTCTTCAATTACAAACATATTGTTCATTCGGTCTCAAGCAAGATTATATTACATTAAATGTATATGGTGAAACCCTTTACATAATCCTTTGAATCAGTGTGAAGACATTTTAAACAATCTGTATTTCTTCGCAAGTGAGTCTTGGCATAAAGCTTTCAACATATAATATTCCTTTTTTATTAACTGATTTCTTAGATTAAGAAAACATTTTTAATATATAACACATGTGCTTTGAGAATAGTGAATTCTATCTATAAAAATACTATCCGTGTTTCAGTTTCCAGACGCAGCATACAAACGCGCCACAATAAGTTCCTTAACGATTGAACAATGTGAAGAATCAACTATGCATAAAACCTTGTGCATATTTATCATTGAATATGTGTAGTTTTTTTATCTTTTTCTACCGTTACCACGTTCCGCAGTCGTGGAAAACAAATGTTGTTCGGGTGTTATACATTCAGATTATTTAATTCTTTTCAAAGTACCCCTTCAAACCAAGTTTGTCACATCTCCAATCTTGGTATTATATGCACATCAGTACGCAGTCATCATCAACCATTTACAAACGATGACGAATGTCAGAGGTAATCATGCACGTGCTTGTAACGAACAAAACAGCTTGTTGTTTCACTACTTTATTACCAATTGCTCATGCTGTCATGAATATTGCTGAGTGTGGCGTAGACAACAAACAAAAAACTTTAATATTCTCACAGAACCAGAGGCGTTTACACACTGATATCACCAATGTGTTAATATAGCGACATGACCTTAAATGAGATCATTGCAAACCTATTGTTAGCTATTATTCATATTGATATTTGATAAGCATTATAAACCTCAAATAATATTGAATTAAACTTGAAGGATGAAGGTTCATTTTCAGAATATACATGACACTAGCAATATGAAATTAATTATTTTTGGTACACAGTAAGATTTCTATGAACTTGAAATATTTCGGTGAATTGTTTGTTTGCAATAAGTTATCGTCAACTCGAATACATTCTGGCACTATGAACCAGCGTACAGCAAAACATCTATTTGCTGTTCTATGAATATATATTTTACAGACAGTTTATACAGTAGAATTAGGAATTGTTTGATGCCTAAATTAGTGAATAAACTGTCTGTGTGTCTGAATATATCTTAAATTTGAAAAACTATTAGATTATCCATTCTTCAAATCTTTTGTATCGCAATAGCTCTCACTTTTGTACATATCTGATGTTGAAAATATGTTTATAAATATTGTGTTAATAATGCACCTATTTATGTAAATATTTGCACTTGGACAACATCAGGTCTCTAAAATGAACATATTTTACAGAAAAAAACATGGTAAATTATCTTAATAAAATATAATAAAAATGGGCCACGAGACTTGCTGCAATTCGTTCATTCATGCATTGTTCCCCATGGATACATCGCAAAGGTGTTGACAGCAGTATGTATGAACACCTGCCTTCCGTAGCCCCCACCTGAGGAAATGGATATTTACTGTTATCACATGGCCTGACTCACCCGTTATGGAAACGTGTGGGGTCTACCATGGTACATTAACCGTAAGGTCAAGGCAAATACTGCAATTTCTTTGTAGAATAGTATTATATAATCACTATATAAACCGGTAATTGTGTGTTTATTTGCCTAACCAATGGTGTATACCTTATATTGAGGAATAAACATTATACTAATTATTCCAGTCAAAACTGTTAATGTCATATTGTGTTTAATACTTGCTTTATGTACATATTTTACGAAGACTCTTTGTCATTATTAATTTATTATTAAATTGCAAATTATTTAGGACAAGCAACGGTGGAAATGTAACATGCTTGGTTTTAAATTTGGCTCTTTTATAAATATAAGCTTCTCTAAAAATGAAATGTTACAGGCGAAAATGACAATACACGGCGGGATGTTCCTTAATATAATCTTCCATATATCTTTTTTTAATAATGTTCATGCATTCCTGGATAAAATAATGAATTTGCCAAATACAAGTGAAAATATACGATTATCGCACGAGTGAAACGATGTCGAAGTTCATGAGTTTTTGAACAACCAGGGTTATCTCTGTATTCTGGCGGGAGAATAAATATCTGATAACATATATGTGTTATACTGTCATATTCAAGCTGGTGTAAAAATATATATATATATATACCTGCACACGAGATTCCGTGAGTCCGATTCGGAGAGCCAACTCTTCTCGCATGAAGATATCTGGATAGTGCGTTTTCGCGAAGCTTCGTTCAAGCTCGTTGAGCTGTGCTGGAGTGAACCGGGTTCGATGTCGCTTTTGTTTAGCGGGTTTGTCCCCTCCGTCGTTCGGGGAAGAAAGCTGTGTCTGTTCTATTGGGCTTCCTCCATCCCGACGGTCCGTGTTCTCCTTCATCTTTAGCCCGTCTTCCTTCAGCACTGAAACCAAACGTAGGTATCTTCACAAGAGGGTAAGTAAAATCCCAGACAGGTAAATTCCTGGAGTAAACCATTTGCCGAGATGTATTGATAAGGAAATATTTCTGTGAAAGGATTTCGTTTCTGTATCCGTTGAGTATCGGCAGAGTTCCAATAAAACGGCAAGCCCGTTCACTAAAGCTGAAAATGTTTGGCATTTGGCTACAACGTCGCTGTGCGCTACACGCAAGAGAGTGGAATTGCCAACAAGGTACTAAGTATTTTATTCCCTGCCCTGTCACATACAAATTGAAAATGCATAAATCAGCTAAATATCGGCAATATATCGTAATGAACACCCCTGTAGCGCAGCAAACTGACTTGTATGATGAGTGACACTTTAAGAGGCGATCTCATATCGAAACAGTTAGTTGTAAACGAGCAGAAATTGGTACGTGCAGATTTAATTTTAGAAGAAATGAATTAAATCAAGCGCCGGTCCTATCAGCGAGCTGGTCCATAATAGCCCAAATGAGCAGAATTAGCGGACCAAGCTAATAACGGCCAATTTGGCAAAACAATAGGTGGGTTGGAGAAGCATTGCCTACCTGATGGCGAACTCGTCAATGTCGTGTCGGAGATTGTGAGGTGGGTAGATGCATGTTCTCTGTTCATCGTGAAATGCGTAATGAGGAACAGACTCACAGACTTAATATAATAAGCCTTTACTTCACTCGCTATCTGCCGCTTTCTTTGAAGCATGTAATCCCTGCTCGCCGATTGGTTAGTTTTCATCTAGCGGCCACGCCTCTTTATCCGATGACTCGTATTCAACACCTCGAGCAAACGGCCAGGGAAGTTTATTGCAGCTGATTGAATTGTCGTTTACAATGGTATGGACATATGAATACAGCTTGCCGAAGGTCTGAGATGTAGTTTAACAAGGTAATAAAACTTTCCATCACCTTTTTGCCACGGCAATCAAAGAGCGCGACTTACCGAGTTTCCTGGCGCGTGCTGCTCGAGGATGAATGACTGTGATTACTCGCTAAATCATTTTATTGCCCAAGCAATCATAAAACAATGTTTTACTGTTTTGGCTTGTTAACAACCATTTTCCGGGACATGGACAGTGCCATATGTATCCGGTCTGCTATACGATACATATTTATTATGCACTTTAGTCATAAAACAACAACTTGTAGAAAAACAATGTCGATCAAAGAAAATACAACAGACAATAGCGGCTAACAAAGGCTTGACCAAGGGACAGAGGATATCACTGAGGCCCGGCACGTGGCGCGCGAACACCTGCTAAAGTTTTCATAGATAATACGACAGAGTTAACTCTGTATATCACACGAACCAGCATGACAATATTAAACCCCGTAATACACAACGGGAGCGTGCATAGGTGAGCGCGTGTGTGTAGGGGGGGGGGGGGGGTGGGGGTAGTCACGGGTGCTCCTTTGAGTTTAATTTGTTACACCTATCGCATATCTTAAACTAACGGTTCGACTATTATTCACATTTAACCCAGCACAAGCCTATCACACTGATACATCTTTTTGTTCAACAAAATTCCATCTTCTATTTTACTTTATTTTTCAGTATTCACAATAGTCATAATAAAGAACGTTTGTTTGGTCCATTTGACCTTTTAAGAAATACATGTTTAAACAAAACAATAAAGTTCGGGTATTTTTCATTTTTGACTACGATCATTATCGATATTATTCTGATAAGCAGTCAAACATTAACAACATATTTCTTGCTTGGTGAAATTCTAATGAATGATATAAAGTTTTGATAATTTCATTTCATGACGGTTAAATTAAAAACGAGTTTTTCCACATGTATTATCTATACACACTGACCGAATGTGTTGCACATATAATATTTTCTGTGGTTACAGTATATCATTATATGCTAACGAATCAACTGAGGGTTAGACAATGAACATAATTATTTTAATACACATATATATGTAACGACAATAAGACCTCTTCCAATAACTTTCGGAATATCAATCAACCAGTGTTGTGCTTCCCAGTCTGGTACAGTGATCTTGCCTCTTCGTTTCCCTCTTTCGTGGTGAATACGCCCTGCCTTGATTTTTTTAATTTACAACAACACAAATGAGTTGTATTTTGTTGTAATTATCACGAGTATTTATAAGAAATGTAATACGACATCAGATTAATAAGGACATGATGTCGAGATCATATTTCCCATTGTCTTTTTACTGGTATTGATGTGAGAAAATATTCAAATGAAACATATGCTTAAAATGTCTTCCTAAGTTGCTTTGTGTTATAGTACGTAAATCGGAACAAGTAAGTATGGATTTTGATAACAGTCGGCGGTGATGGGTTTTCTCCGTGGTCACGGAATCAGATGGTATTTATTCACGAACGTGGGTAATGAGAACACTGATTCGACAATTCTGATTAACATTAGTACTGATTATGTTATTTGGTTTCATTCATACGGACCTTTTCACATGTTTAAAATTAAACACCCTGCAAAAACACATCGTTACTCTGTTGCAATCCCTGTCTATTATGTAACCTTCATTTTGAATATCTCTATATATGTTTAATAAAAAGTTTGTTGTGAAAGGATATTTAACCGTTGCAGATCTGTTACTCGGCGACATAGAATTTCAACACATTTGTGAATCTAAACATGGTTTATCATTCTTATTTGCATCCACTGATTTAAATAAGTGATTGATTGCCTATTGATATGTTGTTCTTCTCAGCTGTGGTTATTGATGGGCGTCTGATGTATTAACTTTGCGGCTGTCGATTAATGAAAGGTTTGATTACCATGATTAAATTATGGCTGTTGGCCATGAATTAGTATATATCTTCCCTTGGTAACATGTAACTCTGCCCCAATCAAGAATGTGTACAATTATATCGTTTTCATTAAATAGTACCCGTCAACAAATATGAAACATGGAATTTTATGCTTTGTTCAATTTTTATCTATAAATATTTTTCTGTGATATATTCCCTTCTTACGGGAACGTTTTTCAGTGTGGAAAATAACATGTTTTATGAAGGGGTTTTGTCGCTTTTATTTGCGACGATTGGCGGTTTGTATTTTTTATATTAAGCTTTTGTTTACTTTGAGGGTGATATAAGAAAACCCACCGTCACGGGGACGTTTCCAAAGGTTACCTGTCCCCCACCTCTTCCTCACACCTTTCATTTTTTTCCTATGAAGAATAAAACAACAAGACCTGCTTTTCTCAATAACTTGATAATGTGACGCGCTGTTTCTAAAGGAACGTTTCATCGATTTGTGTCTAGCGCCTGCAGTTGCATTGCATTCTAAAATAAACACTGTGGCTCTATGTTTCAGTAAATGATGGTGGCATTTGAACGTTAACGATTGCAGCAGCAGCCAAGTTGGATATGGTGGATTGTAAAAATACGTACATGTTGCAATACTGTTAGGGCACTTAACACGCTACGGTTTGAAAAAAAACCTCGTGACATAGTTACATTTGATGGTAGGATTTTAATGAACTTTAGCTCTGTATTCTCGAAGATTATTGGTTCTCAGGATGAGGCACCAGAAGGATGTTTCTGTGATATCTAGGGTTTGTTTTGCGTACAGTAGGTAATGCAAGTTGAGACTTGTGATAGGAGTGTTGTACAGTTCCATACCGAGGTATACATGAAAGTGAATACACGAATGAGACAATGTCACCCTTAATAAATCAGCCTGTGAAAATTACAAACTGATTATTCATTAACAGCACTGCGATTAATGGCTGTGACGGGTGCTTTCGATCGGGCAGTATACGCTCATATTTCGCCAACAATGTATCGCCACTTTTTGATAGTGATTCATAAACACACGGTATTGTCAGAATCCTACAATGGACTCCGATTTTATTAAATATTTCTTTTGATTATGGAAATGTTTTTGTCGCCTTTATTGCACTTTCTATCAAATTGAGACACTGTGCTCTTCTTCATATTACTATATATCTCTCAACTTTGCAAATATCTACTAATATTCTGGTAAATGCCTCCAGTGGCAAGTTATATTTCTTTGTGCTAGATATGTATATTCTTTGGTACAATGAACATCTTAATGCTTAATGTTATACGTAAAGCTAATATTTTCGAAAAGGATGATTTCAGAAGTTTTCAGGAAGCAGTTTTTAGATATTTAAAGATGAGAAAAAGTCTCAGACATTGGCAGATTTCCTCAGGAGATGTAGATGAAGACGATACAAACATAGGGTAATAAATCATCTTGGATCAAAGTAAGCTTTTCAAGTTATAAAATCTGCCCTTCTCGCTCATACCACCCTATCATATGGTTAGAAGGATATTGTGTTAATGGGATAATAACTTGCAAGATAAATATAAGTTGAGAAATTTTTTAAATTTCAACCAAAGATTTTTCAGTTTCAGATTCATATCAGAAGGGTTGATGTTTCAGTGTGATAGGAATGCATTGAGTATTTGTATGGGGTATAATAGAAAACAAGCAGCACTGTAAGTAGAACCCACTTTCCTACACATAAATCATTTTAAGGATGAATATACAGGAACATACATTTTAAGGTCTTACAATCAGTTTGAAAGGCTTTTTCTTGGGCGATTCTAATTTAAATGCATTTGGTTATATGAAGTATACATTTTCCATTCCTTTTCGCGAATATTTTCGCGAACACCTGGTGTCATCACTATTTGATAGTGATTCATAAACACATGACCCTGATATAATCGGAATTGTACAATCGCTTTTATTTATATGGCCATACTGAATATAATTTAAAGACGCATTTATCTTCTATCTTCTATAACATTTAAGTCACGAAACTGAAATATTCGTTCATTTCTAGCAATGTTGTTCATGTCGCGCCCAAGGCCCGGGTTCGAATCCCCACATGAGTACACTGGTTGAAGCCCATTTGTACTGTCACCCGTGCCGTGATCTTACTGGAATACTGCTCGAAGTGACGAAACAGGCGCATTACATGTTCAAGACAAGCCTTGTTTGAACTTATCCCAACATACATTTCAACACCTCATTTAAGAGTCGTAAGTATTATCAGAGAAAACATTTGAAGCTTCTAGATACGATCTATTTCATAATACGATGTGTTTCCAAGGGTTAGCTATTTCCTTTATTATCCAGTAATTTTGAATGTCGTTTTGTCGTATACGATTTGTCGTTGCGTGTAAATTTTCCATTAGGTAGGATTTAGCACAGTATATATGCAGGTCGTGATCAAACTGTGTTTGATTCCCACATTTAAATGTCGCCGAGTGATGTCTGTCCACAACGTTCTTCTTCCGATAGCTCCAACTTACATTGACCTGTGTATTACTAACTAGTCACACATAAGAGAGCCATTTGAGACTCTTTCATGAAGAATAAGACATAAGGGCCAATTCTGGACCAAAGGGATCTGCATCGTTTAAGAAATTCGCAAAACTTCCAGAAGTTGTTGTAAAAGTTATCAGATGTCTTCATACGAATGGGGTCAAGACCTAGTTCATTTCAACAATTACATGTACTGGACTTAATGCTTAATGTTATACGTAAAGCTAATATTTTCGAAAAGGATGATTTCAGAAGTTTTCAGGAAGCAGTTTTTAGATATTTAAAGATGAGCAAAAGTCTCAGACATTGGCAGATTTCCTCAGGAGATGTAGATGAAGACGATACAAACATAGGGTAATAAATCATCTTGGATCAA